CATTATAATTTAATGGTTAAATTATAATGAGGGTGCCGCAAAATCTTCTCTTACATGGCAGGACCATGATAAGGATCCTCATACGCATACTTTATTGGAGGTTGGAGGAAAGTATGTTAAGTGGGGTGGTTGTATCTGATTGGCGGTCCCTAATAAGGGTGACGTTAAATTCCTTAATTCCTATTCGTTTTCTTGATAGATTATTTATAAATTTCCTTTTGCTAATTAATCGTTACAGTGACCCGTGTTACTTATACATCGATACTCTTTAATTTTATAGGTATAATCAGTAGATCCCGTCAAATTCGGTTGATATGATTAATAAAGTCAATAATTTTACCATATATTTGTATTTTAATTTTATCATATTTAATATATTTTAAATTTTACTTATTGCGCATTTTCAGCATTTTTAGTAAAAGATGTACAGTACATTAATAAAATAGCTGTGGATTAATTTATTTTGCAAAGTAAGAAATGTATATATATATAATGAATAATAATACATAATTAAACTGTCTAATTAGTAAAAATATTTAACAAATTCATCTAATATCCGGATATTTTGCATTCTTATTAAATTCTAATAATTGATCTGTGTCAAGTTTTCTAATTGATTCGATATACTGTTTGCAGAAATCTTTAAGATTCTTTTGCCTTAAAATATTACAAAATATACTATAGAGCTGAACTCTGTTTCATCTCGTCACTTGGTCTGTACATTATTAATAAATTTTCTTTTTTGGTATTATTTTTACTTTTTTAATGTCAAAATTAGTATATTGAGCGTAGGAGAACGAATTAAGTGGTCGTACACGCTTTTATATACCGAACGTGTAGTTATTGAGATAATAGAAGATTATCAATTTATCATGCAACATTGCAATGAACGAATCGACATTTTTTAGTATCAGAATGAGTATTGCAACATTGTAATTATTGTATTATATTTTTATTATGTAAAACTTAAGTGATGATAAAACTTATCCATAGCTCTTGCACGTTTGTTAATACATCAAGATTAAAGATATTTAACTTTTAGTATTTAAATTTCCAAAAAATACTTTAAATAACGATTCGCGTTTAAAAAAGTAATGAAAAATGATATAATATTTTACATTAATAAAAATTTCGAGAAACGCAGCCGTCATGGCGTATAATATTTATTTTTTTTTTTTATGATATTTTATGATACGAATTCGCTTATAATAACGTTGCCTCATTAATATAGTATCAAGCAAATGTATCTATTTACGTGTTGAAAATTTAATTTTTTGTTTAGTTTTCCAAAATTCATTTATTACAGTTTGTACTGTAGAATTAGGGATGGTAAAGTCCTAGGTCCTGGACCTAAAGACCTGGTCCTAGGACCTGGTCTGCAGATCTTTAGGTCCAAATTTTGGACCAGAAGCGGACCAGGTCCTAAAAAGTCCTAGCCAATAAGGTTATAAGAGATCTATATGTTTAAATTATATATGTATAATTTGCTGTAAATTTGATTTTAAGTAATTATAAATTATAAAAAAGTGCACTGCAATATTGCAATACAATTTTTATATTATTAAAATCATATAAAAAATGAGTTGCGATATTGCGATTCACATTTTTATATTAAAA